TCCCACCTAAACGGGAACGATAATGGAACGGTGCGATAGGAATAATATAGATTTATTTAGGTTTCTTGGATAAATATATACAGGGTGGTCCGGCAATTTGTACATTAATTTTGAGAGGTGTACATACAGGGTGTCTGCTAAAAGGAGGTCAATCCATTAACCATATATTCCTTGAAAAAAAATATGAGTTTCTAAATACAATTTTTCATTTTAGGCCTTCATATTCGATATACAGGGTGTCAAAGTTGGAAATTAAAAATTGTTTTTTTGCAATTACTCGCATATTTATATATCATGACTTCCTATCTATTTTTCTTGCAGTGTTCAATCATTTTTGTGTATTTTTTGTCTCTTGTAAAATTTCGATAAAACCATTCGTTTTCAAGGTACGGGAAACGGAAAATAAAATCGGAAAAAAATTAAAGAAAATATTTTCGGAAATTTTAGGTGAAATCATGATATCCATGATTTTAATCGCTACTTGATGAAATGAATAGCAGATCAGGATTGTCTGGGGATATATGGAAGATTTTGTGTATATATGCCACATATTTTTCAAAGGTTAAGATTTTCCTTAATTGAAAGGGCTCGCATGTGTATTCAAAAATTGCAGGTCATATCGAGCAATTTATTTAGACGTGTTGTATTTCTATCAATTTTTTTTTTGTTCAAATTATTTTAATACATTCGCTCTGAGCACCCGGTATTTCTATATTTCAATTATTTTCAAATTTCGATGAAATAAGTAGGATTAGTGAACATTATGAGATTATCGTAAGCCGCATATAGGCATCAAACAATAATCAGTACTTTTCGAATTATCTTAAAAACAAATAATTTTAACGAAATTTGACAAAGACAAAAATTACTCAAAAATGATTGAAAACAGGTAGGAAGTCATTAGCGCACGTACAAAAAAAATATGGGGGTAAGTGTGTACTTGACCCCAAGTATTTTGAATATTTGACAGTTATTTTCTGTTTTGTTCTCCTCATACGATGTAACTCTTTGTGCTGAAGTAATGTACCCATTTTGAGATTAATATCTTATTAAATACGCGAGTAATTAGAAAAAAATAGTTTTTAATTTCCGACTTCGACACCCTGTATATCGAATATGAAGGGCTAAAATGAAAAATGGTATTTAGAAACTCATATTATTTTTGTTCAAGGAATATATGGTTAATGGATTGACCTCCTTTTAGCGGACACCCTGTATAATGAATAGTTCCGACAGAAAAAAATTCTAAAGTTGAAAAATCTTGATTTCAAATACCATATATCTCTGAAATCATTCCTAGTAGACCCCAAGTGTCTAAATCGAAAAATGCAATTAAATACGAGGTATTCTATTTGGAATAACAAAATTGTTAATACTTTTCGATAGAGGCGGCAACACTGCATTATTCGCGATAGAAAATCAAGGTTGTTAGAATTGATGATATTATGAGAAATAAATATTCATCAATTCTACCAACCTTGATAGGAATTAGCACGTTGCCCCATCTGACGCCAACAACTTGAACACTTCTGAGCGGTTTGTTCAGAAGGATTGACCAATAAGCATAAACGAAAAACAAATATGAACCAATGAAAACCAATGAACTCAATATAAACTTACAATGTAAACTAACCGCTTCGACAGTTTTCCAAAAACTTCCTATAGGTAGCGTAAGCTAATTTTCTATCGCGAATATCGGGACGTTCTCCAGTTCTGCATCGACTTTGACCAACCCTGTAAATAATGCAAATTCAAACTTCCATTGGTTTGAATCAAATTTGGCGGAATTTTGTACACATATATTTTATTCAAATTAAGTTCACAAGGTCACTTTTAGGATTTAACTATTGAGAAATCTACAGACACACTGATACAATATACCTAAATGACAAAAATTGGAGCAACATTTTACTCAGTCCCACCACTCCCAACCCCCTGTGTGATATACGAACCTGATAAATGAAATCTCGGAATAATTATTCTTCCTCCACAATATGAAAAGATGATCTAGGGACTTTATTTTGTTCTTCAGAGCGTTTTTTAAAAATTTGAACAGAAGGCCCACTTCCCACTTCTGAGGGAGCAGAGAGATGTGAACAATGAACCGTTATAAGGGGGTTCTTTTATACGTTAACAGTTGAGGTGCTGTAAAATGGCTTTTATTTCTGACAGTGACATTATAAGCTTATATCGTCATAGTTACGATATCTATTATGAGGGTCATAACTCCCTTGGGATGTTATAGATGCTATAATTCCCTCTAACTGAAATTAAATAAGAAATGCATAGCAACAACCACGCAGTAACGTAGCAATAAGGAATCTCCTATTCGCGGTAGTCAAGATCATCATCTGACGTTCTGATGACATTGAAACTATACGGAAAAACATGTCTAACTTCCAATCGGGAAGGTATCTAATGAATGAAATCAGTCAGAAATAAAATTATCTATGTATCACGGGAATTACTGAGCCTCAATAACCTCAGGCAATTGCTGTCCCTCGGGCCAGAGGCCCTCGGGACGCAAACTTTGCCATCGGTAATTAAGGCCCTCATAATTCCCTTAATACATAAATAACTATAACATGCTGCTGAAAATACTATTGACAGATAACGTGACAATACTGAGTTTACTTCAATTTACTAAAAAAATAATCCATTTTGTACGTAATCCATAGAACTGTGTTATAGATGGAATTTCCTAGAGTCACTGGATGTTATTAGTTTGATAAGAGTTCGGACACAGAAATGACAACGGTTAGGGATTTTGAATGTTTAGATTTATTAAGTTTCACACCTTGCATTGTGACAAGAGCACCATAGGCTATATTCCGAATTCAACTGGCAGTACTGAATCTGCTGATTTTCCATTCCGAAATCAAAAAATTCACTGGAAGTGACAGATGCTTGTCAGCAGATATACTATTCATTCCAAATATTTCGACTCAACATTCTGCTGAAATTGCTGAGTATCAAAAGGTAGTGTGGCTTCAGTGAACTGTCATATTTTAGAGGAGGAAGGAATGTAACATTCATTTCCGTTATTAATGAAATGATTCTCAATATCAGAAAGTACCTGGAGTATGAAGTAGTAGAGCAGGTAAGGAAAGGAGTAGCATTGGCTGAATAAACTAAATAAACCTGGAATGTCTCCTAAAATTCATCATTATTAAGGCATATTACGATTTTCATGAATCTCAATTCTCAATCTGGTACATCATGAGAAATTTATGGCAACAAAATGTCCAAGTATTCTTCATCACTCGAGCTTGAATCGCCATCGTCAACATTCGTAGAAACTATAGAGGATACAAGAATCGATTTCTCTTCCATGTTGAATATTAAATTTCCAAAATTTATAACAAGTAGGAGGCTAAACATCTAGTTCAGATAAACGAGACACTACTACTGATGAAAACCATGAAAACGTGTCCCGAATTACAGTAGTGAATTTTTGATTTTATATTTCGGAACACAGATTTTCAGCAGAGTCAGTGGATCAACTTACAGTACTGACCAGTTGAATTCGGAATATAGCCATAGTCGTCCCGCGCTTTTTCATTCAAAATTGTTTGAATTTGACAATACATTTTATAAACGTCAGAATTGAAATTAAATTTCATAATTATACATTCGAGATAAAAGCAGTTATGGAAATCACTTGCTGTGTAATAAATTGTGCCAATTCTGTAAAGAATGGATATCATTTATTCAAATTTCCGAAACAAATATCAACCATTCGCTTATGGAAGGAAGATATGAAATGGCCTGGGTGCAAAATCAAATTGAGGAAGAGCGAAATTTGTGAGGTACTCATTGAAATTCACTATTTATCACAGCATCTGATTATAATGAAACAATATTTCAGGCCCATTTTCAAACAGAAGATTTCGAAATCTGTTTGTCGATTTCACAGCAGGCGATTTCGAGAACAAAATTCCATTATTATCATCACACAAAATACAGAACAAAATTATCATGGAAAAGAGGAAATGATCACAAAATTACATAATGAAATTGAGAATTTGCAAACGAAACTAAGAAAACCAAGTAAACTACAAAGTGATATATTATTGAATGGCGTTTTTGGTGCCGACCGAGGTGCCGACCAAATTTAAAATTTAACAGTGAAAAGTGAATAGTTATTTTATGTATCAAGGGAATTATTATAAGGGCCTCAATTACGCAGGACATTATCGTTTTGGAGTTGCTGAGAACTTTACAAATCCAAGTATTTGGTAGGTCTCGTCAAAATAAACTACTTTTTTCCTATCAAATGTTTATCGAAAAATGATTTGTTCCCTGTATTCCAACACTCTGTATCTCCGAAATGAAGCATTTCCGGACACAAAAGCTGTTATAGACTTTATTTCTTATAATTTTCTCAGGAATACTTCACTTGGAAGTACTTATGTTACTTCCTGTATATTGAGAATACCTACCTTTAATTCAATATAAATAACTTCATGTTTTATACTCATCACTGGAGTACAGTTTCACACACAATAAGGAATTATAGCTATAAGTTTATCCATATGTGTAATTTTCTAATATTAAAATGTTGTTACATGCATTCTTTTCATTTGCTAGTGTATAGTGTATAAATAGAAGTGGGTGTTTGTACCCTATACCCATTGTCATCTACGGTTATGATTTATTTGACAGAAAATATAACCTCTCAAATCGTATCTGACAATCAGGCGCTACTAGGGAAATTGAAAAGACAGAGAGCAGAATATATGTCTTATTCCTTTATTCACTTAAACCATTGTATTATAGAAAATAGAAAAGGACAAAAGTTCAGCTGTGTCCGAACTCTTATCAAACTAATACCATCCAGTGACTCTAGAATTTCCGAAACCGCCAACGGTCGTTTAGACATTTTCTTCGTCTGTCAATGTCTCTCACCATACCATAACCTCAAAATAATCGTACTTTCAAATCTTGTAGAAGTTTTGTCGTAATCGTGGCAAAGCAATTAGGAAATAGTAAAAAACCATATGAGACTGTTCACAACCTTGCGACGACTTACAAAAATCCATGACATTCTGTGTAATAAGCTAACCAAGGAGTGTCCATCCTATTCTGCAACCAGAAGGTCTGTTTACATCAGCCCTTCTTTAGACCAGTGGGGCAAAAATAAGAAACACAGGAACGTGAAGTTGAATTTATTTCACGAAGCAATGGCAGATCCTAAAATTGAAGAAGTTCTTGCTCCTCTCAGAGCTCATGTGAAAGAACAGGTGTGTACATATGTTTTCAGGTTATACGGAATTTCAAAATTGTTTTGTTCAGGGTGATTTGGTACGCAAATTGAAAGAAGAAGGTGCCCCAGCTTTGGACGTCAAGAAAGCCGTTCTAGAGCTCAAAGCTAGGAAAAAGGTTTTGGAAGACAAGGAACTTAGTTTAGCTCCTAACCAAACTTTTGACAGAGCTAAAATGGAAGATCTGTTGAAGCGCAGGTTCTTTTATGACCAGAGTTTTGCTATTTATGGTGGTATCACAGGACAGTTTGATTTTGGACCTATGGGGTGTGCTTTCAAGGCCAACTTATTGCAAATCTGGAGACAATTTTTTGTGCTGGAAGAACAGATGCTTGAGGTTGATTGTTCTGTTTTGACTCCTGAACCTGTCCTGAAGTAAGTAAATATGAGTACCTACATAACTTTGCTCAATTGCTCAATTATTTTGTTGTTTCAGAGCTTCTGGTCATGTAGACAGGTTTGCTGATCTCATGGTGAAAGATGTGCAATCTGGGGAGTGTTTTAGACTAGATCATCTCATAAAAGCACACCTAGAAAAAATTTCTGCTGATAAAAAAACATCACAAGATGTTAGAGATGAGTGTCAAGATATTGTGATTAAGGTTAGCCAAAGTAATTCATGAATTTATATAGTTTTTCTCTTGGTTTCCCCAATTAAATTAATTCCAAAGACATGGTTAGTTGAGTGTACAGTTTATATATTTATTCTAGCTAGATGGTATGAATAAGGCTGAGATGGCAGCTGTCATGGAGAAATTCAAAATGAAGAGTCCACTTACTGGGAATGAACTTACTGAACCTATTGAGTTCAATCTTATGTTTGGAACACAAATAGGGCCATCAGGACTCATCAAGGGGTAAGACAGTTTTTTTGGGGGAAGGGGATAGAAAACCAAAAATAAAAGTAATATATGTGCTTTATTTCCCATTGATTTCCCATCCATTTCTCAATGTTAACACAAGGTTTTATGAGACCTAACCCAATTTTCAAATTCTACAGATAAAATAGACTTTCAAATAACATCAATTTCCAAAAGATCCATCCTACAATGAGTAAACATTTGTCAAAAATGTCATTTTTGAGTTCATGAAATACTCCATCTAAAATTGAATAATATTCAACTGAAAACTACTACTATTATATATTTAATCTTGTAGTATTTTTAGTTCAAAATCATGAAACAATCTGACATTTTTATTTTTCTTCATTGGTTGAAAATGATAACTTCTTGACTACCTGAAATAAAAAGAAATACACTTCTCCAAGAAGTTAATGCACCACCAAAAACTAGCCAAAAGTTTAGGAAAAATTTTCATCAAAAGTACATGTCCAATTTGGAAGTTTTTTGTTTTGAATGACAGGTTATTTCCTTCTGAACATTGGGCCCAAGAATTATTAGGCCAAACATAAGGTGAAAATTCGGTCCCAAACTTTGTTTTTCCTGATACTGCATAGGTAAATTCGGTCGCAGGTAAATTGTTTAGTGAGGGGCTCAGTAAATACTAACATAAGAAAGGAGACTATCAGACTACGTTTTCCAAACCCACTGACCTATCTGGGCCTAATATATTATTTTATATAAGAAGATGACTACTCTTTCTAAACAATCTGACCTAACGCGGCCTAATATATTATATAGGTTTATAAGTAGGTTATAATATGAGGAAGGAAAATATCCTTTCTGCATAAGAAGGAGACTACTTTTTCTAATCAATCTGACCTAAATCGACTCATACTCACAGATAAAGGGGTGACATTTTTAATTCAATCTGTTACCTGCTGGCCGAATCTGTTACCTGCTGGCAGTGCTGGCCGAATCTACCTGGTGTCCCAAGTGTATTGGCATTGAAACCTCTTACTTATACATACCATGTATAGTAATAACAGCGTATTTTTTTCATGAAATTTATATTACCCTGTAGGGTGTAATGTTTACACTAACAACTTGAAATTGAAATCACACTGTAGCCTTACCTTTTTTCAACATTATTTAATTTTTTAGAGTCACTCCATCATCTCTCCTATTTTTTTTTATCGCTTGGAGCGCACGAAAGGGAAACCCTATAATGTTCAAATCATAGCCCTCTCGTTGGTCGGGCTATACATTTTTTGTGGGATTTAAAATACCACTTTATCCCCTAGGTGTATAAGGTACCATAATACGATTATTCCCATTGAAAAAGTTTGCCATTTCATCTCTGTTTGCAGATTATAAAATGTCACTTTTCATAAATTACTTCTTTCCCGTGGGAAAAAAGTGAGTACTTTTTTCCCGGATATATATCACATATACAGGGTGTTTCAGTTTTTTGTAGCAGGACTTTAGCAGCTTGAAGAAGACATTTTCTCAAGATGAAAATCTCAAACAAACATATATGCGTGGGAGCTTCGTTTCCGATTTACAGGGTGTCACAGTTTCAGATTTTTTGTTATGTTTTTTTAATTTTCTCCTACAATTTTCGGAATAATTGATTGAAATTTGATACACTTCAAAAACTCAATATTTGAGGCTATGAATCTATGTCCCATTGAAAGCAGAGACGGCACGCAAAAAAGTTCTACAGGGTTAAATTGGGTACGACCCCTGAAAGTCTATCACCCTGTTGGTATTCAAAAACGCTCAATAGCCTCAAATATTAAGTTTACGAAGTGTATTAGGTGTTCCAAATTTCAATCAATTATTCCGAAAATTGTAGGAGAAAATTCAAAAAACATTTAAAAAAATCTGAAACTTTGACACCCTGTAAATCGGAAACGAAGCTTCCACGCATATATGTTTGTATTAGATTTTCATCTTAAAAAAATGTCTTCTTCAAGCTGTTAAAGTCCTGCTACAAAAAACTGAAACACCCTGTATATACACTGTTGATGGCTTTTGTTGTGCTATAGTTCCGAAAAATGAGTCAATAATACCGTCTCCGAGAAAGAACTGCAAGTCCTTTTATCTTCCATTCGACTTCGCGGTTACGTATATTACTAAACAACCACTAAATTCGCAATTTTTGAAATCAAATCACAGAATTAGACTGACAGAAGTGACATCAGATATTTGATTACCTCATAAGAATGATAAAGATGCCTACAACGCAGGTGTCCCTACTGTTAAAAACTTAAAATTCCACCTCGATAAATTTCAGATTTCAAAATAATGTAATATCTTCTCAATATTGATTCGTCCTTTATTCTGTCACAGAAAAAAATACTGTATTATACACGGGAGAAATATTAGATTCTAGCTCACAGTTTTTGGTCTTTTTTGTATAATAAATAACTATTTCTAAATTTTGGCTCCTTTTTGGTGCTGCGATAATTTCTTGGAGAAATGCATTGGAAATCATGGATATCCTGTCAGGATTTTGAAATACCGGGTGACACAGGAGAAATGCAATAGTCTGTAGTTTCTTTATTTGAAGAGAAACAATTTTGAAATTGACAAGAGTTATATTATCGATCATGCTGCTTTCCTTGAACCCAATGACAATTTTTTTCAACCAACTGTTTGATTGGACGTAGACCCAACTTTTTTTTTCAAATGGCTCCATGTATATTTCTGTAGATAGATAGATAGATAGATAGATAGTTTTATTGATCCAAATTCGAGCTTATAAAGCTATAGGACAGGTCAGCACAAAGTACATGTATAAATAAAATGTTTCTTAAAAGTTAACAAACAATAGGAATGTAGATTATGTCTATCTAATTCGCCTTAAAATTCTCTATTCAACTATGTATCACAATTTGATGCTTGATAGGCTTGGAAATCCCAAGATCATCACTTAGCTTAGACCATATTATCAGAATATTTTCCATATCCTGGGACCGCAAAGATTGCCAATAAGTTGATTGAGTTTAAAAAAATCATTCGAAAATAACTCACGATATTAGGACAATACATCAATTATTACAACAATAATTATTTCAATAAATTGCAACAACTTGCCCCATCCACAGCTTTGCAGATGATAGTACCCTCCATACTGCGTTCTCTTCCAGAATTCCCATTTCTTCCCAGGAAACTAAGAACTCATGGCGCAGGCAGGTCAATGCTGTCAATGAAGATCTTGCTGAAATCACAGCCTGGGGAACAAACAACCTAGTTGAATTCAACGCCACCAAAACTCAAGCCTGCATTTTCTCTAGAAAGGCGGAACTCAGTATGCCCGATGTTGTAATGTCTGGCTCCACCATCCCCACCAAGCCCACCATATCTATGCTCGGTATTTCCATCAGCAACACTCTTTCATGGGATAATCATGTCAGATCCATCGCAAAAGCTGCTTCACAAAAACTCGGATTCTTGTTCCGTGCGAAAAGCTACTTTACACCTCAACAGCTTCTCATGATCTACAAAGCGCAGATACGGCCTGTTTTAGAATACTGTTCCCACATATGGGGTTCAGCACCAAAACATACGCTGATGCTCTTGGATTCCATCCAGAGAAGAGCCATTCGCCTGGTGGGTGACGCCACACTCACTCACTCTTTGACATCATTGGAACATCGTAGAAAGGTCGGCGACCTTTCACTTTTCTATCGATACTTCCACGGGAAATGTTCTTCGGAAATCTCTGCTATCATCCCTTCACTAGCAATACCAATCAGACGAACTAGACAAGCCCAGTCAGCACATCCTTTCGTTGTCAACCTCGAAAGATGTCGAACAGCACTTTATCAAGACTCCTTCATCCATAGAACGGCTAGGCTCTGGAATTCATTGCCTGTGGAAGTATTCCCAACAACATATAATCTACAAAAGTTCAAAAAAAATTCCAATACCTACCTCCTGTCCCTATCCTCCCAAGGAACGCACGATGTTCTTTGAACATTATAGGGATTCCCTTTCGTGCGCTCCAAGCGATAAAAAAAAAAAAAAAAAAAAAAAATTGAACAGCCAAATGATAAAATAATATCAAATTGTCTTACAGAGTTGAATAGAGAATTTCAAGGCAAATAAGATATGCTACAGAAATATACAGGGTACGTGCTATTTGAAAAATAAAAGTTCGGTCTACTAAACAGGTGGTTGAAGAATATTGTCATTGGGTTCTAGGGAATTGTCATCATCGATAATATAACCCTTGTGAATTTCAAATTTGTATCTCTTCAAATAAAAAAGCGATAGGCTAGCTGTTACATATCTCCTGTGTCACCCGCGGTATATCCCCAAATATATGTTTTCTTCTACAGAGTTCCAAGTTGATGGGTAAGCTTGGATCTTCCAAATCACTATGGAAGATTTGGATACATGTTATTTTCATTTTCGTTTTGCAGTTTCTTGAGACCAGAAACAGCACAAGGCATCTTTGTGAATTTCAAGAGACTTCTTGAATTCAACCAGGGAAAATTACCTTTTGCTGCTGCTCAAATAGGTAGGAAAAATATGGACACTTTGTTTCACTAGTTCATTCTCAGATTATTCATTAAAACAATATTTTGTTTTCATGGAAAATGATATCAGGAATAATATAATAGTTATTTGTATGCCTAGGCCGTGAAATTACTTTGAAGTTTAGCGTACATTGTATGTACAGTGTGTCCAGTTTTCGATGCTTTTGCTTTATATCTCAGTTTTCTTTCGAGATCTCCCTTCCAGTTGTTTACATTGAATACATTTCTATCCGCTGTGAAGGTCATACTTGACGTGGTTTTCACTTTTACTAGAGTGGCTTTATAAAATAGAGTGGCCACAATAATAGTGATGCACCTTTTGATTGGTAGACCTCAAATATGGAGGTGCATTTGCCTGTCTCGCTTTCTCCCAGCAGTTCTACGCATTCTATTCCACTTTGTCACTGTTTATCGCTCTTTGGACACAAAACATCCAACAATCAGAAATGAAACTCTACACATCGGTAC